GGCTCAGAGAAGACTCATCTATGTTGTTTTTGAACCAATTCAGGTGAAGTTGTCAGTGGAATGCAGTGAACTACAGTTGTCATGTAAAAACTTCACCACAGGGTGCTAAGATCAGGGATATAGGCAGAATTTCAAAGGTTGAGAGTTAGTTTATTGATGTCTCTTTTTGGTGTGCAAGGAGGGCTGGTTGAGAGTAGGAAAATTGTGATAGCCTGGAATAGTTCAGAAGCATGGCATAGTTATCGACATATTTAACTAAAATAAAAAATATGATTAGAGTTTAATTTTCTTAAACCCAGGCAGCTGTATTAATTTTTCCCTAATACCTCATGTACAAGTGGCTCAACATGTAAATAGTTTTAACTAAAAATGCTCTGGAAAAAATAATTCTGGAGACTAGAAACTTAGAACAGACTATATATGGGTAAGAAAGACATAGTGAAGGACTTTGGCTAGTCAGCAGTCAGTGTGAGGGCAGTAGACAACTTAGCAGTAGTAGAAGTCAGCATGACAAAAGATTGTACAGAAGCTAGAGATGAGGTTGTAGATACCAAAGACCCACTTTGTCTTCTATGAAATTCTATTAGATACCTTGGTAGTAAAAGCTACTTCCTCATACCCTTGAAATTATTTTTGACATTAAGTTGTCAATGACTTACAGAGTAGTGTAGTGAAGAAAGGCTATATTCTGACATCAACTTGTTTTTTTATTTATTTTATTTTTAAAAATATGTTTTTATTGACTTTAGAGAGAGGAAGGGAGAGGGAGAAAGAGATAAAAACACCAATGAAAGAGAAACAGCTATCTGATCGGCTGCCTCTTGCATGCCTCTACTGGGGATTGAGCTGGTAACCTGGACAAGTGCTCTGATTGGGAATAGAACCGGTGACTTCTTGTGCATGGGTTGATGCTCAATTGGTTTTTAAATTAATAGTTTTGTTAAAGAGAAAGACGTGCAAAATAAAAAGTGTATAGAAGCATAGAGAAGAGAAAAAAATTACCCATAGATTCTATAGAAAGATAGCAACTGTTAAATGTTTTTTAAAATTGTATTTTATTTTTCAATTATGACATACAATATTATATTAGTTTCAAATGTAGACCTTAGTAAGTAGACACTGACATACTTTATGAAATCACCCTGATAAGTCTAATACCTATCTAACACCATATATACTTATTACAATATTATTGGCTATACTTTGCATCTTTGTGGCTATTTTTATAACTGGAAATTTGTACATCATAATTGGATTTTTATTTTAGATTCTAGTTCTTTGTGATCTTGTAGAGAAAATTTTATTTGTTTTCGAGATCAATTTTCATTGTACCAGAATGTACTTGGGAAGAGATTAATTCTAAGTTTGGAGTCTTAAAGAAACTGAACTCTCAAGTCAGCTTTTCTTTAATCATTTTATCACAAAGCAATAAATAAGAATATTGTTTTTGAGAGTTACAATTTACTTCTGTTAACGAAAAAAACCATTGAAACTTGTAGAGAATTTTAGTGAGTTTATTTGAGCCAAACTGTAGACATATGCAGGGAAGCAAAACCTCAACAAATTGAGATAATGCTCCAAAGAATGGTGGGTTACATTTCTATTTATACATTGCAATCAAAGGAGGGACATAGGTGGGTTACATGAAATTCATTGGTTATGGATTAAGGAGGTGAGATAAAGCAAAGTGGTGGGAAACCCTGGGATTGGATAAAAAAAGTAAAATGATGGAAACACAGTTAGGTGGGTGCAGGAACAATTAACATAATAATGAAGGGATTGGTGGTCTCTGTCCTGGTGCCCATCACATTTGGTTGTGCCCCAGGGGCTCCAGAAAAAGGAAAGTTACAAGTTACCCAGACATCTCACAGATATGTTATCTTAGAAGCAAAAAGGCAAATGGGCTCAGTAAAGAAAATCTAAGTTGATCTTTGTCAGGGAAAATATCAGCCTAGGACATGACTACCCACTATAACCTGTTTGTAGTTTAAATATTTAATTTTCAAACCATCTTTTGTGGTTATTTTAGTTCTCTGAGTTTGCAAGACTGCCACAGAGGCCTCCCCTGAGCTTGTCAGGTTAGCATGTGGCTCCTTTTGTTCACACTTCAAACCGCAATGCCATGCTTAAGAAAGATCTTAACAGTGTGTATTATGTGGCATTTGCATCTCTGGAGAAATTAGAGAGTAAAAATGTACCAGACTAGACTGGATATATTACATGAATCTTGGAATCAGATAGTTGATATAGATTATTTCTGAAGGTCCATCTCAAATAATTTATATCCATAAAGAACATTATACATGATATTAGACCGATATTAGATATAGGTCTGCAGGAAGAAGCAGATGCTATTTTCAATACAAAATAATAATAGCATGTAAAGGGATTCATGAGCAATATAAACAAGATCCTTTGGAAGTGAACTGAATTTAAGTAGAGGATGATTATTCTTAAAATCCAAATTTCAAACTGGAAGATGGAAATCATGAAGGTAAAGAAAATAGGGAGGGTAAATTTAAGGAGGCATAATATGATAAATAGAAGTTTCAGAAAGAAAATAAACTAATTTAATTAAAATGGAAAGAGGAGGTGAAATGAAGGGGGGAGAAAAATATTTTGAAGATATAATCTTACCTGGTGTAAGGGAAAGCAGGAAAGAAATAAAACTTATTTGTAGGAAAAATAGTTGGCATCTTATTTTAAAATAGGAGTAGAGACATTTGTCACTGGAAAAGGGACAATTAACAACAACAAAAAGAAAAGTATAACAGGACTTCTGTGTCAATAATTGGGCTGATTAAATGAACACCATCTCAACCAAACCAACCAAAATTAAACATGAAAAAGTTATTTTTTTTTGTAGGCCCAGAAAACCCAACACATTTTCATGAAAAACTATTTTACACAATAGCCGAATGGAGTAACAGACAAAAAAACAACCCCACTCCCTTTTTAGCAAGAATAATCTGGAAATGGAGATGAGGAAAGGAATTCCATTCATAATGTCAAAGAAACTATAAAATACATAAGAATAATTTAAACAAAGAGACACATATATGAACAAAGTACAAAATCTTACTGAAGGACATGAAATGAGGTTTGAATAAATGGATGAATGTTCTATTCTTGAATGGGAAAACATCATCATTATAGTGCTACTTCATTCAAAGCTAATATTTACATGTAATGCAATTCAAATCAGAACCCAATGGAATTTTTTTGGAGGACTGGATAAACTGATCTTAAAATGCGTATGTAATAATGTATGCTCAAGACCAGCCAAAAAGTAGAAAACAAGGTATAAGAACAGTGAAAAAGGGAATTGCTTTATTAGATATAGTGATAAAGCCACTATTGTGAAATACCCAAATATTTATACAGAAATAGATAAAGATTTCATTGGAAGTAGAATAAAGAAACGAGAAACAGATCCCAACATATCTAAGAATTTAGCATATGAAAAAATGTTAGTTAAATTCAGTGGGGAAAGAATAGGCTGTTTAACACACAGTATTATACAATTCTATTCAACCCAAAGAAATGAAGAGGGACTTATATTCTAAAATATTCAAGAAATATTATTTTAAAAAAGAAAAAAAAAATAATAGGGCACAGTTCTAAATAAAAAGCAAAAAATAATAAAATATTGAAAGAAAATCTAAGTTATACATGTTTGGTCCAGGAGCAAGGGTAATTTTAACTAAGATTAAACTCAGTAGCTATAAAAAAAGCAATAGCTGGATTTAATCACATAACAATGAAAAACTTGAGTATAGCAAAAGAAACCATAAACAAAATTAATAGATAATTGATTTAGAGAAAATATATAACAAATGACAAAAGCTTAAAATCTATAATATAAAAAGAACTCCTACAACTTGATAAGAAAAGATATGAATAGGAAATTCACAGAGCAAACGCAAACAGCAAAAACAAAAAACCCAACTTGTTCAAATATATTGGGAAATGAAAATTAGAGCAACAATAAACTTTCACTTTACACTCAATAGATTGGCAACAATTTTAAAAAATGTTAACATTTATTCTTGTGGAAATATGTGTGGTTACAGACTTTTTTGAAGTCAATCAGGCAGAACTATTAAAATTAAAAATACTTTTGCCTGGCTGGTGTGGCTCAGCGGTTGAGCATCTACCCAGGAACCAAGAAGTAACCAGTTCAATTCCCAGTCAGGGCACAAGCCCGGGTTGCAGGTTTGATCTCCAGTAGGCGGTATGCAGGAGGCAACCAACTGATGATGTTCCTCTCTGATAGATGCTTCTATCTCTACATCCCTCTCCCTTTCTCTCTCTCTAAAAGATCAACAAAAACATATACAAATATGTATGTACTTTAATCCAGCGATACTACTCCTGGGAATCCATGACACAGAAACGAAAGCATTAATTGTTTGCAGCATTGTCTGTAGGGGCCAAAAAATACCAAAAACAAAACAAAACAAACAAACAAAAAACCATCCATAAACCAAAACAACAACAACAAAAAAAGCCAAGCAAATCACCAACAAAAAACCAAGCAAACAAAAACAAAACTAGGAACAAGGTGAACATTTACATTGCGAATATCAGGCAATCATTAAAGAATAAAACAGAGCACCTCTCAGATAGTTCTCTGTGCCTTTTTGCACATATTTCCATTCTGTGGCATATCTGATTATAGAAATAAGTATAAGTCTCTGTCTTTCCTGATGTACCTCTCCTTAAATTCTTAGGTGCCTTTGTCTACATTTTCCTGTCCTTCTTTATCCACTGATGCCCAAACTAAATTCGAGGCACATGATTAAATGATACCAAAGATCTAGACATGGAAAAATCTCCGGTGCTGGCTCTCTGTGATTGTTGAACTACATACACTTGAAGTAGCTGTGTACAATGACAAGGTGATCTTTAGTTTTTTGACATTTGTGTAACTCCGTAGCCAGGACTTCCTTTCCAACTTAAAAAAGTCATGTTACCTCTCTCTTATGCTTTCCAGGTAACTTCAGGATCAGCCTAGCACACCAAGTTGATGGATGGAGGAAATTACTCAATGGTGTCTGAATTTTTGTTGCTGGGACTCACCAGTTCCTGGGAGATTCAGATTCTTCTTTTTCTGTTTTTCACAATATTTTATATAGCAAGTATGCTAGGAAACCTTCTCATTGTGCTGACAATTATCTCAGACCATCACTTACATTCTCCCATGTACTTTTTGCTAGCAAATCTCTCCCTTATTGACACAGGTGTTTCTAGCATTGCAACCCCCAAGATGGTTTATGACATTTTCAGAAAACGTAAAGTCATCTCTTTGAAAGGATGCATTACTCAGATGTTCTTTATTCACACTGTTGGGGGTGCAGAGATGGTGCTGCTTATAGTCATGGCCTATGACCGATACATTGCTATCTGTAAACCCCTCCACTACCTGACCATCATGAGCCTAAGAATGTGCATTTCTCTTTTGGCTGTTGCTTGGACCATTGGACTCATTCACTCTGTGGCCCAACTGGCTTTTGTTGTAAACTTACCCTTTTGTGGTCCTAACGAAATGGATAGCTTTTATTGTGATTTTCCTCGGTTCATCAAACTTGCGTGTATAGACACTTACAGACTGGAGTTTCTGGTCACTGCCAACAGTGGTTTCATTTCCATGGGCACCTTCTTTATCTTGGTTATCTCTTACATCTTCATCCTGGTCACGGTTCGCAAACACACCTCAGGTGGCTCCTCCAAAGCCCTCTCCACTCTCTCAGCTCACATCACTGTAGTGGTCTTTTTCTTTGGCCCTTGTATTATTGTCTATGTGTGGCCATTCCCTACCTTACCCATAGATAAATTTTTAGCCATTTTTGATGCCCTTATCACTCCTTTTATGAATCCTATTATCTATACATTTAGAAATAAGGAGATGAAGGTGGCAATGAGGAGACTGTTTGGTAAGGTTTTAAGTTTTAGGAAGTGTTCCTTCATGCATAATCCAAGAAATTCAGATTCATCTTGACTGCAGTACTTGGAAATGAATTTCTTTAATTAAACGTTTTATAGAACTTTTTAATTTAGCAACTGATTTCAATATCCATTGTGAAACATCTCCTCAAGGACTCTGTTCTGGTCTGGTCAGTTTTTCACAGGGATCCTTTTCGAAGGATACTGAAAATGTTGAGGAGGAGTGACTTCAGCTTTGGAACTTAGTGTCCTTTATTATTGAAGACTTTAGTGAAAGCTGCAATCTCACATTTTGGGCATATTTTTCGGGAATGTAAATTGTCTTATCTTTGGTGGTGATTCTCAGAGGCATATTTCTCCTAATCTACACGTGTACCAAAATTCATGCTCTTTGAGTTCAGTGTCTATAACCAGGAGGAATAAACAACATGAAGATAATTACCCAGGTAGCTTTGAAACTTTGAGGCTTCAAACTTCTGGATATGCCCATCCATACTCAGACTTAGTACTAAGGTTTTTAGAATTAAAATTGAAAGGTGAAATTTGGGGTAAATCAAAGAGTGACAACTCAGGAAACTTTACTATTATTAATCAAATATTTTGAGATCAGAAGGTGTATATGGTAATTATGTTTTACTCCAACTGTTTTCTAAAGAAGTCATTATTTTTATATGGCAAAGAAAATTATGTGACTCTTAAATAATTGAATATTTTGAAGCTAAAAAGAGGTGGTACTGTTTTATGAATAAAAATGTAAAATATTTCTATATTATGTGGACCAGGTTTATAATTAAATAAAAAGCAAAAAAAGTGTAGATATTACAAAAGAAAATTTATTACAAAACTATCTATAGCCCATCTGGTGTCGTGTCAACCCATGAACCAAGAGGTCACTGGTTCGATTCCCAATCATGGCACATGCCTGGGTTGAGGGCTCAATCCCCAGAAGGGGGTATGAGGGAGGCAGCCAATCAATGATTCTTTCTCATAATTGATGTTTCTCTCTCTCTTCCTCTTTGAAATCAATAAAAATATATTAAAACAAAACAAAAAAACTGTCTATAAATGAAGAGATATAAAGCTATAGTGAAGAAATATATTAAACTTTCCATGAGCTAAGATATACAATCATTTTAAAAATGTACTGTTTAAAAGTATGAATAACTGTTCAGAACTTTAAAGAGTATTTCACTGTTCTTTTTGGGTTACCAAACAAATAGGGACAAGTGTTAAGTGAAGGTATTATTATTCATGTGTATGTATGAAACTGGTTAATCATCCATAAAAGACCAAGTGATCATCTGCAACAATAAATTGTTAGTAAAGGATGGGAAGAACAATGCTATAGGCTGAAATTAATATTTCTGACAAGTCTTTAACCTCTGCCCTGTACAGATTTGCCAGTGAACGTCAAGTAAAAGATCAAATTGTCTAAAGCTTGAGGAAAGATGTGTTGTCATTCCTTTTTTGTAGTTTTTTCTTCATGTATTAAAATTTTTAATCCCATTCTAAAAATTGAGATATAATTGGCATATATTATTATATCAGTTTCAGGTGTACAACATAATGATTCAATATTTGTATATTTTGCAAAATGGTCACAATAATCTAGTTGATCTCCAACACCACAATTCTTACACTTGAAATGTTTTTATTTTTAAATTACAGTTTATATTCAACTAGGGCCCTGTGCACAAAATTTGTGATGTGCGGGGGGGGGGGGGGGAGGGTGTTCCTCAGTCCAGCCTGCACCCTCTCCAATCTGGGACATCCCTCTCACAATCTAGAATTGATGGCTCCCAACTGCTCTCCTGCCTGCCTTCCTGATTGCCCCTAACCGCTTCTGCCTGTCAGTCTGATCACCCCCTAACCACTCCCCTGCCAGCCTGATTGATGCCTAACTATTCCCCTGCAGGCCTGATTGCCCCTAACTGCCCTCCCCTATAGGCCTGGTCACCCCCAACTTCTCTCTTCTGCCTGTCTGGTTACCCCTAGCTGCCCTCCCTTACAGGTCTTGTCCTTCCCAACTACCCTCCCCTGCTGGCCATCTTGTGGTGGTCATCTTGTGTCCACATGGGGGCAGGATCTTTGGTTATTTGGGGGAAGACATCTTGTGTGTTGGAGTGATGGTCAATCTGCATATTTCTCTTTTATTAGATAGGATAGTACATTCAACTACAGTTTATTTTTTAAAAATATTTTTATTGATTTCAGAGAGGAAGGAAGAGAGGGAAAGCGATATGGTAATAGTCATGATGAGAGAGAATCATGGATCAACTGCCTCCTGCAAGTCCCCCACTGGGGACCAAGCCCACAACCTGGGCATGTGCCCTTGACTGGAATTGAACCTGGGTCCTTTTAGTTCACAGGCTGATGTTTTATCTACTGAGCCAAACCAGCTAGAGTTCAACTACTGTTTATATTCAACATTATTCTGTATTAGTTTCAGATGTACAGTATAGTGGTTAGAGATCTGTTTGTGGTTTGTGATCTGTTACTTTGTCTCTGCATTTTCACTGCTTCCCTGAGTTTTAGGATAGCTTTGAGTGCTAGGTTTCCTATATGGCCAAGTTGGTCAGCCTCCCCAGTCAACTGAGGTGGACACTGTTGGTGCAACCCTTTGTGGTCTGTATGTACAGCCTTATTGTAGTTAAGTCTTGATTGTTGTTGGTATCACTGGGAAGAATTGACTTCCAGGCCAACTGGCTATGTGTATTAGTTGTGTCTATGCTGGGAGACCTGTGCTGGACACAGGCTTATAGAACCAGACTTGCAAAATTGCAAAAGCCTCTGTGCACAGTTTGGATGGGGCGGAGTCTCAGAGATGAGCAGACAGTCTTGGCTTCCTGTCAGCCCTGCCCTTGCATGTGCTCCTCCAGATCTCTGCCTTCTGTGCTCCCCTGGATTTCCGTCTGACAGTCCAGATTTCCCCAGGCTTGCCCAGAGCTGGGGTTCAGTGCAGTCAGTAGCTTCTGACTCCTTGCTGCTAGGGAGAGCTAGCAGCAACCTTAGCAGTTAGTCTTCTCTGCACGCACTCATGTGTGTGCCTCCAGACCTCTGCACATCATGGCTTCCTTGAGTCTCCGAGTCTCTGTGTGCCTTTCTCTCTACCTGATAGTCCATATTCCCCCCATATAAGCCTGGGTCCACAGTGTTTCATTGCAGTCGGAACTGGGGTTCAGTAAAGTAGGGAGCTTCCTTTCTTCTCCAGCCAGAGAATGCCAGCCAGGCACTCAGCTGCCCTTCCTCTCTGAGTGCGCGTCTCTGTACCTCAGTCCTTTGCAGTTCTGATTCTCCATGTGCTTTCCTCTTTCCTTCTAGTTGTAGAATTTCCACTCAGCCAGCTTTCTAGTGGTTCTGGATGATGTCCATCCTGTCTTTTAATTGTAGTTTTGAAATTGTTGTGGAAGGCAGCAGTTTAGGTGTTTATCTATGCTGCTACCTTGGTTCCCCTCATTTAATAAAGATTTCAATTAAGTAAAAAAAGTTTTGCTTTATAAATAGAGTGTGAGAGAGGAAAATTAAAAGAGAGAGAGAGAGAGAGAGAGAGAGAGAGAGAGAGAGAGAGAGAGAGAGAGAGAAACATCTATGTGAGACACACATTGATTGGTTGCCTCCATAACTTGCCCCAACTGATATGTGTCCTTGACCAGGAAATGAGCCAGAGACCCTTAGGTGTTTGGGCTCATGCTCTAACCACTGAATAACACCAGCCAGGGTTTTCTTCCTTTAAACATTTTTTTGAAATTATTTTTTTTTAAAAAACACTTTAATATGTTTTTTATTGATTTCATAGAGAGGAAGGGAGACGGGAGAGAGAGAGAGAGAGAAATATTGATGAGAGAAACATTAATATGATGCTTCCTGCACACCACTACTGAGGACCAAACTTAAAACCCAGGCTTGTGTCCTGATCTGAATGGAACAGGCAACCTTCTGGTGCATGGGATGATGCTCAACCAGTGACCCACACCAGTCAATCCCTCCATTAAAAAAAAAAAAATCCTGCCGAAGCCGGTTTGGCTCAGTGGTAGAGTGTTGGTCTGCGGACTGAAAGGTCCTGGGTTCGATTCAGGTCGGGAGCATGTACATTGGTTGTGGGCACATCCCCGGTGGGGGGTGTGCAGGAGGCAGCTGGTCGATGTTTCTCTTTCATCAACGTTTCTGGCTCTCTGTCTCTCTCCATTCCTCTCTGTAAAAAATCAATAAAATATATTAAAAAAAATCCTTATCTGGGGATATGTTTTTGTTAATTTTTAGAGACGGAAAAAGGGACAGAGAAAGAGAGAGAGAGAAACATCCATGTGAAAGAGGAACTTTGTTCCCTTTTGTGACTCATTAATAATTTCCTGTTTTGGTCTGCCAAGACTTTGGGCGGCAATTCCAATGGATTAATGAACTCATATGGGCATATCGAGATTGCAATATCATTTGGTCGATAATTTCCTATGTGTAAATTAGTCATATCTACCACAATAATAGTATATATATAGTGTGTGTGTGTGAGTGTGTGTGTGTGTGTGTGAAGTAATACTAGTTTAAACCAGGGAAAGGTTGAATGTGGTTAACTCTTTGGAAAAAGTCACATGTTATGTCTTCAAATGAGTGGGTTGGTGGCATTTATCAAAATAGCTTAGGAATATTGGTGTACCATGTTGAATCCCCCAAAGTCCAGTACTAAATAGATGTTTCTGGTGATAAAATTGTTTTGTATAAAAATAAATTAAATGCTACCTTGTACAATAGAAGCATCTTCCATTGGGCTTAATGAGCAAGAATCAATTCAAATGAGAAGAAAAACAACATGCAGGCAGAAACTGAAATTATGTTTAATTTTTATCCATTCATATCCAAGACTGAGATACAAAAAGGGGAATTATAATGGTTAGGAGGCAGTCTTGAAAGTGGGAATAGAATTTGAATTGGTTTAGTTCTGCACTTTTTTTTTTTTTTGTCATGAAGACAAAGCACCTTTGGTTTCTCTATTAATTATAAAGTAGTTGTAAGAGCTGAGTCTCTTCTATGGGAAGCTAAAGGAGTTCATGTGGATCAATACAATGGTGAACTCAACCAGGATGTTCTGAAATGCTGAAATACAGATTTGCCTTCTCTAACCATGGTTATTTAAATAGCCAGGATGAATTATGAATGTGTTTGAAGTAGCTTAAAAAACCCAGATGCTTGTAAACACTTGAGAATAAAACTTTCTTCTCTCTTACTTAGATCTGTCTATGATGCCAAGAGAACACAAGGCATCTAGAAGGGGACTAAGGTGTGTCATGCAATCCTCCTCCATGAAAGTCAGGAGGAAAAAACAGTCTTGTTAAGAGGCAGATCAGAGAATCAGGTCCCTATATTAAAGTTTCTAACTGAGACTTAGTAAATCAACAACTCAGAATGGGTAGTTATGCAGTCTCTAGTTGGTTGAAAAGCATAGCTACAATATTTTGTGCCTTCTCCTGCTAAGAGATAGAGTCTATTTCCCCAACCTTAAATTGATTTGATCTTGCTCCTTGCTTTAACCAATGGAATGTGGAAAAGATGATGTTACATTAATTCCAGCATTTGGGCATAGGTTGTTTTGCAGCTTCTGCCTTTGCCTAGTTGTAGTGTTCCCCAAGACCCTGTAAGGAAGCTTCAGCAAGACTACAAATGAGGGTGATGAACAATGAGGCTGCTGATTGATAAAAAGCCCCTTGGGGGAGAGCAGTGTAGCCAAT